TCATGAGCTCCCAGCCGCCGCGCGCCTCGTCCCAGGCCATGTGCCGCATGAGGATGCGGTTGCCGGCGTCCTCGAGCAGGAACTCGCGCCGCCACAGTCGCAGCCACTGCTGCTGGGGCGTGCCGTGCTCGGCGTTCATCTTCTCAATCATGCGGTTGCGCTGCGCCACGGCGACAAAGATGCGCGTGTCCCAGAGCCCCTCGCGGCGTGGGTAGCGCTCCATGATGCGGATGGCGTCCTCGCGCACGAGCGGGTCGCGGCAGTAGAGCGCCACGATCGACAGCTGCCACGTGATGCCGCCGTCGAGCGACACGCGGTGCGCCGGCGTCGTGAAACCGAGGTGCAGCGTCCGCAGGCTCGTCTCGAGCAGCGAGTTCATCTCGCGGCACACGGGCGTCAGCGCCTCCGCCGTGCGGTGGTCGCCGAGCAGCGGCAGCTTCGACATGAAGTGCACAATGAGGAACATGAGCCGCAGGTGCAGCGCGCGGAGGTAGCTGTCCCGGTCGGCCGTGCCCGCGAGCATGAGCCGGCGGTAGAGCGGCTGGAAGGCGTCGTCCCAGATGGTCGTGATGCGGAACACCTCGGCGCAGACGCGGTCCAGATGCGGGTGCGCCAGCAGGTCGACGATGATGCGGTCGACCTCGTCGTCGTCTTCGGACTGCAGGAGGCCCGAGTCGTAGACGATCTGCATTGTTTCCGGCGCCTTGAGGGCGCCGTGCCTCTGGGTCGCGACCCAGTACTCTTCGGCCTCGGCCACGTTGCGAAACTCGGCCGGGCACGTCTCGATTTCGGCTGTGCTCTTCGGCAAGTGCAGCAGGAGCAGCGTGAAAGCCTCAAACGTCTGGCCGTTCTCCTCGAGCCCCTTGTTGAGGGCCGGCAGCGAAGGCCCGCTCCCAATGCGCCCATCGAGAACGCTGCGAGCCTGGTGGGCGAGGTTGGCGAACGTGTCGACGAGGTCGGCGAGGAAGGCTTTCGGGTTCGGTGCGAGGTGTGACATGTCGCCGTAGTCGCCACTGACCGTGGCGAACAGCACGGCCAAGCCATGATTGATGTGCTGCAGGGCGGACTGGCGGTCGCCCCTGATAATCTCGAAACAGATGAAGAGCACCGACAGGAAGAGCGTGTCCTGGAGAATCGTCCCCGGCGAAGCCTGCCCCTGTAGACGCAGGGCCCGGCAGTAGCTGGCCACGGCGTGCTGGTAGTGCGGACTCAACGTCGTGAGAGCCTGCGTCGGACTCATGGGCTCGATCTGATGGGACATGGCGAGAGCCCCGATGGCGATGCCGGCGTGTCGAAGGGTATCATTCGTGCGCGCCAGCTGCGGCATCGTGATCCTCCACAGCTTGGCCCCTGCCGCGGTGCCTCCGCCGATGGAGACGCGCATGAGGCTGACAAACTCGTCAAAATACAGGGCGTTGAGATCCGTCTCAAAGTCCATGGTGTTGACGTTGGGCTCGAGCAGTCTCCTCGGAGAGAGTTGCATGACCTGGTCTACGGGTTTGCTCACGGCCGATTCTGGCATTGGGGCTGCCGTCTCCGGCCTGGACCTTTTCTTTCTCGGTTTGATCACATAGCCCTCGCAGTAGCCGCGTGATTTGAGGCAGTTCATGCAGTACGGCTTGGTCTCGTCGCATTTGACATGGCGCTTCTTGCAGGTGACGCAACCCGTGCGGACCTTGGCCGTGCTCGTACGGCTAAGTCGCTGGCGTTCAGTGACAGAGACAGCATCTTGGCTGCTGTGGTTGCTCGGTGATACTGTCGGGGAGCTTGAGCTTCAGCGACAAGAAAAAGACAAAAAATGTCAGTCAGTGGATTCGGCAGGATCATTTGGAGGGCTGTAATTCACTCAGAGTCATTGCCTGGCCCGGCCTTTGGTCTGCGTGGGAGGGACTCCATGAGCGGCAGGAGATGTGAGCATTAGCTAGCCATGGTTGGGCCAGATGCTCGAACAAAGAAAATACAGGAGACAGGTGGTCAACTGATAGTAGAGAATTGATCACGACGATGGAACACAGCCCGCTGGCGCTGTTCCCAGATGGAGGTGAAGGTGCCTGGTGATATGTTCGAAAAGGCAAGCGTCAAGAATGAAGAAGGCAGCTTGATCCCGCGTCAAATTCGTCTCGCCAATCACCAAATGGGAAAGTGTGCATGAGGCAGCCGTCAGCACGATCAGGCAGACAAATGCCGTATTGGTCCGAGTTTACCTGGCGGCCTATTCCGGACGGCGGTGGGTGGTGTGTGGTTGATCCTGATTCTTGTGTAGTGTGTGCCTTGGCTTGCTTGGGTCCCTCCACCCCCGCGTCAGCCCTGGGCAATGCTGCCGAGCGGATACTTCTGGGATTGCATGCCATGTGCTGACATGTATGTATCGGGTGCCTTATGACACAAACGGGCTATCTCCGATGAGTCATTTCACGTGACAGCACTAGTGCCGTCACAGCCCCTCTTTTGCCCGTCTCGGATGGCCCGAATGCGAGTGATGGCGCGATGGCGCTGTGCCGCTTCCCAGTCCCATTTATGCTGATAAGCCCCGACGTCAACGCCCTCGAAACATCCTCCCCTTCTCTCATCAAACCCCCCCCCCCCTCCTCTCATCCGTACCATTGCGTACGCAAAGCGTTTTCGACACCGTTCGAATTGAACCGCCTCCCGGCCTCATAAAGAGGCCGCCCACACTCTGCAACAATGCCCGCCACCGGATGCTCAGCAGCAGCGGCGGTTCGCCAGACCGTCTTCTTCTACCAGCCCTCGCAGCTCGAGGTTCGCTTCGACCCCGAGTGATGCCCTTGACTGGCCCGCGGAGATCCTAAGCCTCGATGACATCGCAGCCATCGGTCTCCCGGGTCCTCAGGGGTGGCAGGGCCTGGACCCCTTTGCCGCCTGTGTCCTACCAGATGCCAACGCCGGCGCCGCGCTCTCCTCTGTCGACGGGTCCCCGACCTGGGACTTTTTGACATGGGATCCCGCGACGGCGGCGACCAGTATTGGTGCGGACGCCACGTTCACGGACCTGGAGATCGGAGCTGGTAAGAGTCTCACAGATGCGGTACATAATCCTGGTTGGTGCCTGATGCTGACGATGGGAA